AAAACTCATCAGCGCTATAAAAAGCAAAACGATGCAACATCGCCGCCATATTTACAGGATTACTCATTTACTGGTCAGACATAATTTGTCTATCTTTTGTACCTGATGCGCACGTCATTTATTTATATCTGTTTTGTTCTATACGGTGTTTCATACTGTTTAAAATAAATATCGAGTCACTGCTTCCAACCCACAAGAAAATAGGTTAATATCAAATCCATGCCTTTATGTTAAGGCTCTTCATTCACGTATGGAATTAGGATTAGTTACGTTTGTTTAATTCATATACTGCCCGCCAGGTGGCCCAGTTAGTTTTATTTTCCCATTCGTACCAGATACGCGTTTATGAGCATGTCAGAAATGATAATGGGTAATATTAGCAGTGTCCTTATAAGGAAACATTCAGTATTTCTTGACCGATTAGCCAGTGCTCCTGTCGGGTTAAGTTTAGAAATTTCTTCTACCAAATTCTCAATTTTTTCAACAAAATAGATTTCTCAAGTCCGCTGTTATTGTTCTTTCCAGAACTGATATAGACTTTATTCCTAGTAAATATACTAGATGAGATCTATTAATCAGCTTTTAGCTGTTGTCGAACTCTCTGGCTTCATGCAGAGAGGAACCCGGACGAGGCTACGCCGAAGAGTCTCGTCCGGGGAGGTAGACAGACCCGAACCTGCTTATGCGTGGTTTACGGGGAATTTTTGGCCGGGCCTACGGGCTCGTATCACCCCACATTAAATCCGGCTTTGTGCCACATCCTAACCCGTGGGGAGCTTGGTAAATATTACTAGGTGGGATCTGTTGAGTACGACTCAGACTTACACTTCCAATAGTAGCACTCAATACTGGATTGGCTTGCGACGACCTTGTGCATAGCTGTTATCTTTATTCTTATTGTATTGGTTTTTTACAATAAAACTTTACTTATTTTATCCACCGTGTTTTTCAAGTATATATTCCTATTAGCACGGAATATAATATGTTTAATCCTTTCTTCTCGCTTTGCTTTAACAGTTATTAACACTGTGTCATCTGCATATCTCATGTTGTTAAGATTGTGAGCGCCAATAAAGAATCTGGTAGGACTTCTAATTCTCTCAGAATTGCCTCACTCTATAGGTTGAATAAATCCACCGAAAAGACGCATCCTTGTCTTACAACCTTTTTTTTCTATTTTTATATATCTACTGAACTCATTGTCTATACGTACCCCGGAGATTCCCTGTCAATAACTTCTCGCCGACTTGAAGCAACAGGGATATCGTTCAACAGGAGGGTGTTTACGACACCAGTGACCGAACTTGTGAACAACGACGAGGTTTTAGAGAAAATAAAAACAAAAAGGAAAATTTTAACATCGAAAAGAGACAGTTGAAATTTCTGGGGCACATAATGAGGAAGGAGGGTTTGGAAAATCTGATACTCACAGGACAGATTGAGAGGAAATCAAACCGTAACATGCATAATGAGCTTGAGTAGATGAATGAAGGAACATAGTTTATGAGAAATAACAAAGTTTTGTGAGCTACAAAGGACAGGAAATCGTGGAGAGATCCCACGTTAAACCGGCCTTGTGCCACATGATGCCCTCGTCGGGGGAGGGGGGTGACTGAATATCGTCAGTCAGTAGTTCAAGTCGAGTCAAGAGTCGAGTCAGAAGCAGTCCGAAACAGAGTCGCGTTCAGACAATTACTGCAAGACATTGGAATAGTGATACTGGTCGAGACTACATTGTTCTCTCTACTAAACCTGATTGTTCATACTAACACTTTCTACTTCTCTGTATATATTCCTGTTTGTAATATATCTGTGTTATTCCATATCCGTGTTCGACTTCTTCTTTATTGGTTCTACCGTGGACTATCACCTTGGTACAAAGAACCGGACCATAACAAGTATGATAAACCGTAAAATATTCAAATCATTCGTGTTGTCTTTGCTTAGATGTGCAGTTCTTGAAAAAAAAATTTCCTCACAAACAATCCTCATTCCCTCAGCTGATAACATTTTTCTATATTGCCCCTGTTGATTCTTTTTGGGAATACGAGTATTCTCAGGAAGAAATTGTATCGATGTGTATTAAGCCAGAGCGTGCTGAGCTGATTTGTGATACCAATCTTCCTATATAATAGTAAATACTGGATAATTTCCTCACAGATGAGACGTGGTTCTACAGAAGCATGCTGAGAATGTCATGGAAATTCAATGGTTGTGTTGTATTAATGATAACAAGAGCGGACCAAATGAATAATACGAGACTTGGATCTTTCGTATTCAGTTTTGGATTTTATACTCTCCAGTACTTGGACCCTACATTCTTGTTTCACATGGCAAGAAATAAGATTAATCATAGCAAATTGCATTTTAATTTTTTTTTTTTTGACAATATATGCCATGTCTTTAATTTTCCTATAAAAACGTATTGCTGTTCATTTTATTATAAAATGTATTGATAATTCTAGTATAAAATATATTGTTAATCATTTTGCTATAAAATTTATAGTTGGTTATTCTGCTATAAAATGTATTGCTGATCATTTTACTATTAAAAAAAATATTGTTGGTAAATATTTTATTACTGACAACCTGCCAATATTTGTTTTATAGGAAAAGACCAAGGTTACTCTTTGGCGCATCATACTCTTCTCTAAAGAGAAGGTGCTAATGAGGCTCGTTCAAGTTTTGTTCTTCATGCCATAGTTGAGTGGAACCGATTTGAAATTCAACTTTGTGCGACGTATTCACTGCATCTGCCCAGTTCTCACTGTTCAGTCTCTATAAAGTGCAAAACTGACTACGCGGCTTTATGTCCGATGATATATTTTCGATCCTACAACACCTTTCCCACATAAGAAAGTCTTAAAGACTCTCACTTCATTATCGCTATTTCCATGGAAAATGTTCAGATGAACTACATTCCTTAGTTACACCAGTTCACAGCTAAGACCCACCGTGCTCTCGCACATAGAAGCGAGCCACCCATATTCCCGTCGTATTCTACTATTGAGATGAAGGACCACCCAGTTTCTTTCTACGAACTGTTCCTTTGCGGAACTGACTCCCAAGAGGATGTTTCCTCGATCACTGCAATCTTAATCTGTTCAAATCTACGGTTAATCGTTATCTTCCCCGCATATCCTCATAAACTGGGCTCCTATCTCTTACTTGGTAACCAGTACCTTGAGTGGCACTTGGTGAAAATAAATAAATAAATTCGGTGTGAGTTGGTGTATGGTTTAACACCTATATTAACTCCAAAATCTGAGTTCGAATTTCGAACCATTTTCCTCCTGTTTACTTAGTCATAAAGGTTAGAATGTGGCCGAGTTAGAACGTGGCCGCTTTCTGACCACGAGACCCATGGTCGATTTTTCAGGAAGGTAACTTCTTGATTTTATCGATCTGGAGGAAGCGATCCTGGCATGCGACACGTGCCTGAATAATACGAGTTGACCCAAGCGTTGAGAGTGAAATTGCGTAGATGGAACCCTTGAGGGCCGTCGACAACTGTGCTAGCACAAAATCACAAGTCATTGTGACAGAGGGTTTGAATGTGCTGGCTTTTTTTAAGATTGTTGATCACGTTAGATAACACGCTTCTCTGCCAGAGACTGTGACTAAGATCCGATCGGCATAGTTGTAGTATAAAACAAGTTGGCATTGAGGGTGTTGAAGAAACGGGCGTTTGCAACAGGTATTACGTAGCCCCCCCACCCTAGCAGCCAGACACACTCAGAAACAAGCAGCTTGCAACACTTTCTCTCTCCCTCTCGCCACCCTCATATATATATATATATATATATATATGTGTGTGTCCATGTATGTGTCTATGATGTAAATTTTTAATTACTGGCACACGTAAAAATCAGGATTCCAGATTATGATTTACAAGGTAGGCGAATCCTCCCCATTTGAAAGAATATATATATATATATATATATATATATATATATATATAGACACAAACAACAACTCACACACACACACACACACATATATATATATATATATATATATATGTATGTGTGTGTCTATGATGTAAAATTTTAATTATTGGCACACGTAAAAATCAGGATTCTAGATTATGATTTACAAGGTATGAATCCTCCCATTTGAAAGAACATATATATATCCATATATATATATATATATATATATGTTTGTGTGTGTATTTGTGTGTGTGCATGATGTAAAGTTTGAATTAGTGGTACAGATAAGAATCATGATTCTAGATTATGATTTACAAGGTAGGCAGAAAGAATTCCGTAGCGCGTGTAATACCAGCCCTCCTCTATGTCATGGAATGATACACGATCTCATCACAGATGAAGAAGAGATTCGGAGAAGCAGATATTTGGGTCTTGAGAAGGATGCTCGGAATACCGTAGACTGGCCATTTGCGTAATGTAGTTTTAAGGAAAACGGAAAAGACACTTATTTTAGAACCAGAAACAGGCCTTTAAATTTTCGAAAACGCATAGTGATTTTCCAAACGTAGCTTAGATGTGGCACAAGGCCGAAAGGATGAGGCGCCCAGTGAGGATCGAACTCACTACTCAGTCGTAATTGTTCTAGCGAGACAAGCTTGCTAACTATTACACTGCATCTGGGTGCCCATCGAAAATAATGAGGAAAGAGGGATTGAAGAAACTGACACTAACAGAGCGAATTGAAGCTAAGAATGATAGAAGAAAAACAGCTATCTGTTATGACAGAACGAAAAGAGTGCTGGATAGTAAAATGGCAACTCTTACCAGAGCCATGGGCGTTCACTTCGACTTCAATTCACATATTTATGAAGTGCATTAATCTTTGTTCAGTAAGCCTCAATATATATATATATATATATATATATATATATATATATATATATATATATATATATATATATATATATATATCTCTATGTATTTAAAAAGGCAGAGATACTGACGCACAAATATAAAAAAAAAAAGAAGAGATCAGTGTTTAACTTGGATTAATATATTTAGAATTAC